TTATGATTTTGTAAACCTGCAAATTAAAAATTGTTTATCAGCATGTTTAAAAATGATTTTGTTGCTGTAGAAAAGGATTTGAATCTGGTGAGAGCGAATGTGGGAAATACAGTCTTAATGCACCATCTGGGATTATGTTTAACCACAAAAACATACAAGAGATAAAAAGCTTCAAAAGGGGGAAAAACAAAACCAGGAGAAATGAGATTTGTAGACTATTTCATAGCAGTGCAGTAATAAATGAGTTATATGTGTGTAGGCTTTATATCTAAACAAATGGCCTTTGAAATATGAAAAGTTCTTTGCTAATAAAACATCCCATGGGAAAGCTCAGAAGCTTGTTCGCACTGCGGTGACATAGCCAATAATCTCAAACAGGCAGAACGGGACAGGCAGGGTTTGATGAAACATGGGGAGGAACAGGGCAGCTGAGATTGGCTTTTACATGTCCATCAAAGAAATGCTCACCCTTCTAAAACAAAATGGCTGCCAGTGAGGCTATGCCCAAATGCCCTCCTCATCATCCTATTGGTTAAGAGATGGCAGGGTTTTAGCCAAGTGCAGCATGGGAAAAAAAATCAGGTTAGTATGCGTTTTTATCCAGGTAGAAGCGACCCGTAAGCACAGAGGCAAGATCAGCTTTCAGCGCGTCAATGTGAAATGCTGAATTATGAGGTTTAAAGGAAACCGATCCTGGATCTTTGCTTAGGGGCGATTTCTACAGTCATGAATAATAGAAATCCATAGGGTTGAGAAGTTATGATCAATATGAAGGCAGTAAAAGGAAATGATGGCGTCTGCGTTGAAGATGAGGGCAGCTTCATTTCAATTACGACGACGTGACTGCAATGGAAATGGACGACCGAGCATCCATTTCCAATTCAGTTTCTAGTATGAATATTTTATTAACAAGTAATGAAAAGAAACTGACCACACCTCCAATTTGTCTTTCTTTGGCTTGCTGTTAAGATTAAGCTTTAATGTATATGTGATAAGCAAAATACAGCAATGGTACAATTATTTCATATTCAGCCATATTGAATTTCCACTAAATAAAAAAGCTGACGAGCGTAACAATTATAAAGGAACAGTTCACCCAAAAATGAACATGCTGTCATCATTTCCTCATGTTATTTATGGATTTGGGACGTCATGAGAGTGAGTAAATAATGACAGGATTTTCATTTTGGGGTGGACTGTCCCTTTAACTGTTTGCTGATGTTTGTAGGACTGGATTGTGACCTGATCGGGTGATTTTGGAGTTTTGTGGTTGGTCTGGTGAGGGGGTGTTTTCAAGTAGCCGTCGTCGTAATTATCCGCCATGAGCTTCATACGGTTCTGTGTCTAGGAAAAAAGATGAGGCACAGATGTAAGGAAAGATTTGGGGGGTAGAAACGGATGAACGGCGGGTGGGGGGTGGTGGGGGTTGAGAAGAGATCAATTAAAAGCACATCAATAGACCTTGTTTGCATTAAGAAACCCACCAGTCAAAACAAAGATGTATTTTGTCTAGGCTTTTTAAGTTCTCCAGCAACTCAAAATTTAAAGCAAACAAACAACTTGACCTTGAGGACAGACAGATACACTCGGTCGGAGCCTTGTGACGCAGTCTGTACCTGCTGTTTGAGCTGCTGCACCAAACGGTCCTTCTCTCTCCGCAGCTGGGCCACTTCCTCTTGTGTCTTCTTTTTTTTGGATGAAGACAGCTCCAGCAAAGCTATGTTAGCATCTTTCTCACTTATGGCTGCCAGCAGAGCCTCCTGTCTGTGAGTTACAATTGTTGAAATCAAGTAAGGAAAAAAAAATATTTTTGTTAACTAAATTAAAAACATATCTATGTCCATGTGACCCTGGACCACAAAACCAGTCTTAAGTGTCAATTTTTCAAAATTGAGATTTATACATCATCTGAATAAATAAGCTTTCCATTGATGTATGGTTTTTAGGATAGGACCATATTTGGCCGAGATACAACTATTTGAATATCTGGAATCTGCGGGTGCAAAAAAAATCAAAATATTGAGAAAATCACCTTTAAAGTTGTCCAAATGAAGTTCTTAGCAATGCATATTACTAATCAAAAATTAAGTTTTGATATATTTGCGGTATAGGAAATTTACTAAATATCTTCATGGAACATGATCTTTACTTAATATCCTAATGATTTTTGGCAAAAAAGAAAAATCAATAATTTTGACCCATACAATGTATTTTTGGCTATTGCTACAAATATACCCCAGCGACTTAAGACTGGTTTTGTGGTCCAGGATCACATATATAGATCTATATATTATTATTAAAACTATTTCAAATGAAAAATAAAACAAATTTAAATGATCAAAACTATAATAACTTTGGTTTAAAATTTAAATGATTAGAAGTCAATGGCCAATGTCAAACAGAATTTATTATTAATTAATAAATTATTAATAAATTAATATTTATTATTATTATTATTACAATTAAGAACAAAAATACAAAAAATAAATTAAATCTTCAAAACTATAATAATCTTGGCTGAAATTAGTAGAAGTCAAAGGCGAATGTCCAACAACATTTATACTATCATTAATACTATAATAGTATACTATCATTATGATATACATATAATAATAATAATTGCAGACTATTAATTAAGGCAAAGTCCAATGCCAAACATCACTAATTAAAATTAAGAACAAAAAATGAAATGAAACTACATTTTCAAAACTACCCTGGTTGAATTGATTAGAAGTCGAAGCTTAATGTCAAACAGCACTTTATTATTATTATTATTATTATTATTAATTGCACACTATTAAAACTATTAAAATTTAGAACAAAAATAAATAAATAAATAAAACTAAATTACATTTTCAAAACTGTAATATCACTGGTTGAAATTATTAGAAGCCCAAGCCCAATGTCAAAAAGTATTTTAGTAGTAGTAGTAATTGCACACAATTAAAATTCAAATTAAGAACAAAATGCAAAAATAAAACAACATTTTCAAAACCATAACTCTGGTTGAAATGATTAGTAGTCTAAGCTCGATGTCAAACAGCACTTTACTGGAGTACTGTGGAAATCCTCTTCAAAGCAATTGACCTCACTGACGATGACCAGGAGTCTTACAACACTCGACGGAGCAGGTTAAAGGATGTTTGCTTTCACAAGTACAAAACATCTCAGGGGAATATGGATTTTGTCAAAATGATTGTGCATAATTGTCTCAGAAAGACTGAAATAGCTTGCTTATTCTCGGTTTTTCTACAGCTTCCCAGGAGCAGGGCTGAAGTGTGGAGACAGAAATAGCAAACAGAACGAGCCACGTTCAGAATGAATCACCCTCTGCATTTATTATCTGCACAAATACATGGCACGAAAAAATATACCAAGTTAAAGTTTTACAGCCTATTTTTGTGTCATGATGTTTATCCCCGTTTACTCTCTATTAACTGATTTATATTATTAACACTACAGCTTGCCAAAGTGACCTCAGAATGAGCTCTCATGTGAACGATGGTTATTTAATGATTTAAATATGTCATCTGGAAAAGCTATTTATTTAGATCTCATTAAGTTCATTATATAACACATAGCAAATGTGTATCCTGCACAAACGGCAGTCGAAGATTAAATATATTTAAAATCTTTACAATCTGATGTTTGTTGCTGTTCCTATGTTGACGCATGACACTAAGGGACTAGACTGCATGTGTTCAATTAATAAATAATGAAGATTATGAACTAACTTACCAACAGGTCAAATTCCACTGTATCAGACCACTAATTTTCAATGTAGATGGTCTAACATCCAATATATATATGCATGGCAAGTGAAAATATGCTGTAAATAAGATTTATTCTGCATTGTTGGCAGCTTTATGGATTATAATGGAAGAAATCTGCATACGGACAGTCAACGAGCTCATGCTGTACGCAGACGCATGAAACTATGTAAACTAGCAATGACAGCTTCATTCATAACAGGATGGAAGAGTTCTTGTATTATGTTGCCCGCTTTCTGTATATAATTTAAAATCTGAATAACACTACTGTTTTTCATGCTGCTATGAAGGCCAACGCGAAGTTGGTCGTTTAGTCACTGTCTTAATTTATTAATGTATAAAACAGGATAAAATAATTTAAAACAATCTGTTTTGAATGTGCAACCTACGTATGGAATATAGCCTGCAGTCTGCGCAAAATAATTTTTTTTAATTTCACAAAATGTCTGCAAACTCACTTCAGCTTTTCGGTCTCCATTGATTCACAGTTTTCGGTTTCTTTGCAAGCACTGTTATGATAAGATGTACAAAGAAAGTTCATAACGTACTTCATCTCGAGCACCTCCTCCAGGTGTCGCCTCCTCTCGGCCCTCAGTGTGGTCAGATGAGCTTCTTTCTCTGCCAGAGACTGCTGGGTGGACGACATCTTGGCCTTCATGGACTCGAGCTCCAGCTTCACTTTCTCCATCGCTCCCAGTAGCTCTTCCATCTTTTAAAGACATAAACAGAAGGTAACTTATTCATTACTGTTTACTCTGTACTTCACAAAGTGACTAAATGTGTTGTCACATTTATCGCTGTTCTGGGAATTTTTGCGAGTGAAATTCAGTTATTTAAAAGGGTCATATGATGCGATTTCACTTTTTCCTTTCTCTTTGGAGTGTTACAAGCTCTTGGTGCATAAAGAAGATCTGTAAAGTTGCAAAGACTAAAGTCTCAAATCCAAAGAGATATTCTTTATAAAAGTTAAGAGTCAGCCACACCTACCTAAAACGCCTCGTTCTAACACACCCCCACATATCTACGTCGCTATGTGGGAAGATTTGCATAACGCCGCCCAAATGTTCACGCAAAGAAAGAAGGCGTAACTTTTATTCTCGCTGTAGTATTGTTGTTGCCGCCGCCATGTCGTGAAGGCGCTGTGTGCTTCGTTGTGAAAGCGAAACTACTTTGTTTGGCCTTCCAAAAGAGGACGATATCTGCTTCGTCATGCCTGGAGCTGATCCGTGCTGGTTGCTGAGGAAATACAAAAACTTTGCGCTGTGGATCACCAGATCGGCTTTCACCGTGGACGAAGCGGAGTCCAGCCCGGGGTCGTCACATGTGGTTGCCGCAAGCCTTCCAGACGCTCCTTCGTCGAATCCGCCGGCCGCGCCGTTCTCAAGCCCACCCGCCTCTGCTCACTCTAGGCCACCGTGTGTGAGGCCAATCACAACGCACTGGATAGCTGGCCAATCAGAGCACACCTCGCTTTTCAGACCGATGAGCTTTGTAAAAATCGACGCATTTCAGAAAGGCGGGGCATAGAGGAGAAACAATAATGTACAGTATGTGGAAAATAATGTGTTTTTTGAACCTTAAACCGCATAAACACATTTCCTTACACCAAATACACAAAATAATGTTCTTTTTAGCAACATCATATGACCCCTTTAAATAGGAATCCACGTGATTGGGAATGTTGCGTGAGTGTAAAAGATTTCTCCAACTCATATTTTGCATCATGTTCAAGGTGGTCACGCGAATTTGCCACGTTGACCAACAAGCTGCTTGGTTTGAAAGTGACTATTGTGTAACCTGTGATTCATTGCTACACTACAGTCTTAAAAATTAAGGTTTCAAAAGGGGGTTTTGGCTGAGATGCTATAGAAGAATCATTTTGGGTTTGCCACAGAACCCTTCTTGAACAGTTCTTAAAGGAACCATTTTTTGTCTTAGTGTGAGGAACATTTCAGGTATCTAAAGAACCTTTTTCCACCTTCTGTGCAATTGAAAGATTCAATGGATGTTAAAGGTTCTTCATGAAACTATATATTCCAATAATGAACCTTTATTTTTCAGAGTGCATCAACAATGGGCCTTTTTTTACTGGCGAAATGTTCGCTAATGTGACTGCACCTTAAAGAGCAAGTCATATGGGTTTTTGAAAAATATCTCTTTTGCAGTTTATAATGTAGCTATCCTTAAATGAAAAACAATCTGCAAAGTTGTTAATCAAAAAAGTGCATGATAAATAAAGATATTGTCTCTCAAAAGAGAGAGTCGA